CAACAGAAATAATAGTATTGAAATATCCGTTGGAATTGCCGTTGGAATAATTCTTTTAAAATAGATTTTCGTTGGAATTTCATCATTTTTTTGTAGTGTTTAAATGTCCCTCATTGGACTCAATCTAGATCCGCCCCTGAGAATAGAGCAGTTATGTTATGACATTGATTACAAACAATTAACATTATATATGCTTACGATAGTTGGTTTATTTATAAACACTAAAATTGATTGAAAATTAATAATAATGTAAACATGTTAAAACTATATTTAGAATTTTGTAAATAAATTGATAAAAAATATACAAAAATATATATTTTTTAAATTCGGTATATCATCTATTTTGGCCGGTATTTTTTGGTATGAAACCGATATAAACCGATATTTTTCCCAAAATAGTATTTAGAGGGTTATTGTACCGGCCTGTCAATCGTATCCAATTTTATCGTCAATATCAGTGGTATGGTACGATATTTAAAATATTGTGATTGACTATAAACATACATGCCAATTTGTTTATTTTGTTAGCAAGAGTTTTAGTATGATTTTTTTTGCATTACCGTGTTGATCATTACAAATTGCGCTATCAATTAATTGTATTTAGGTAATTAGCATATATAATATATTATTTTTATATAATTTGTTTTGATTTTTGCAAATGGTTCGAAAATTGCTTCCTTAAACTTTAAAAAAATAAAGTGATTAACAATCATTATGTTCACGTATAACACTCTAGCGCCATTTTAAAACTAATAATGTTATTTTAAAAGTTTCAAAAAATAAAAATAAAATTGTTACGTTTATCTTTAAATATTATTTTGATGTAAATATTTCTTAATTCAATACCCGTGTAGTACACATGTGTTTTACTAGTGTTACATTATTTTTAAACATCACTAATCAATTAATCAATAAGTTAAAAGGAAAAAAAAATCAAAATCGACGTGAGGATTACATACGAGATTGAAGATTATTTTACCATATTTAACTTGACTTTATCTTTTAGCAAAATTAATGGAGTTTGTTTCCAACAAATAAGGTAAGGCTTAAAGCATCTCCAATGCTCCATGTTGTAGTGATAAATTACATTCCACATCAACACATTTATTAATATCACAATATTTCATCTTCCAATGTACAATGTGATCACTAATGTTGTAATGATGTGGACATAATTAATATCTACAATATAGAGAAGAATGTGGTTCATCCACATTCTACTCCACACTCTAGTTAGCCAATGAGGAGAAGAGAGAGAATTATTATTACCATTTTTAAATTATTTAAATATATAATTAATTTTATTAATTCATATTAAAAAAATTTTATTTGGCAAGTAAATAATATTGTAGTTAGGCAACATTGTGCATTGGAGATGATTTTTTAATTTAATAGTTGTGAACTCAACATTTATCCTACATGGTTCACAATCTATTTAATTTTTTGACATTTGTCAAAAAAAATTTAATAACAATATTGGAGCATTGGAGATGCTCTTATCGATTGATCAACAGTCGAATTTTTAAAAACATTACTCAACGCGATTTTTACCAAAAAAAAAATATATCAATTTAGTTACCAAAACATAAGGATTTGAAAAAAAAAAAGATGGTATGTAAGATTTTTTTTTTTTTTTTTTTTTAAAGCTCGAGATTTTGTGTAGATAATTAACAAAAATAATCAATAATTTGAATTTTTCCATTTTTCACAAAAAGAACCAAAAATAAAAATAAATAAATAAATAAATAATCCCACTTTTTCTTCTTTAAATACTTCACGCCATAGCAGCCCCTCTCTCCTCCATTCTCCTTTACTACAGCCACAGAATCGACTCTCTTATTCTTCATGGACCCTTCAAACTCCGTCAATGGCTACTACAATTTTCTGACACGCGGCATAGACGACCTCGAGCGCCTGTTCTGTTCGACCAATTTCATGTCCGTACAGTTCTTGCAGAGGGCTCTGTCCCTTTTACGGTCTGCGCACAATCAGCTGACCCTTTTGGTCCAAAAGCTCCATCTGCCCGTCGGCGAAAAATGGCTCGACGAGTACATGGACGAAAGCTCCAAGCTTTGGGAGGTTTGCCACGTCCTCAAGAATGGAGTCTCGGGCTTGGAGAGCTACTACTCGACGGGCCTCGGCGCGATTTCCTCGCTCGACGGCCATCGTCGCTTGAGCCCACAGCTTTCTCGTCAGGTAAATGTAAAAGGGTTATGAAAAAAAAATGAAAAAAAAAAAAATGGAAAATCTTGATTTTTGTATGCTCTGTCTGATGGTGTGAGAACAAGATATCAAGATTCGATTTTTTTAATGAATGTTGGATTGTATGTGGTTTGGTTTGGTTTGTTTGTTTTTTGTAAAAGGGTTTGAATGTTTTTTGTTTGTTTTGTATATTCACACAAGTTGTGTTGATTAGTTAATTCTTCTACACTTCCTTTTAATAGGATTTTTGTCATTTCAATTTTTTTAAAATTTTCTTGATCCGAAACAGATGATCCGGGCCATATCAGGCTGCAGAAGGGAAGCAGTAGGCCTAGAGCAAGAAAACCGGTCCCTAATGGAGAACCGAATCGAGCCCCTCTCCCTAAAATTCGACGAGAAAGTCATACTCGAGTCCAAGCTCAACGGTTTCAATGGCTTCAGGGGCGTTTTATACGCTATGAGGAACGTGAGCTCACTCTTGCTGACGATCCTGCTGCACGGGCTCGTTTACTGCTGGCCCCAACCGAGCCTTTCGGCAAATGGGTTCGATCAGGGGCACCTGTTTTTCGGGTCGGCATTTATGATATCCACGGCCCGACTCCACCAGCGGGTCGTTTCGGAGATTGA